ACACACACACAATAACACACACACACACACACACACACACACACACACACACACACACACACATACTCGTTCAGATTGAAGAGAATGTCGCCATCGCCGGCTCTATAACTCAGGCGCACGCCCACCTAATGCGATAGAGGTGAAGGGAATTTAGAGTCAAGTCACTCGGTCACTAAGTCACATAGAAGAATACCACACCGTGTAAGGTTTTAGATATGGTCAGTGTTATGCATTGAGTATGCAGTGGGGAGTCAAACCCAACCCTAAACCCTGGAGAGGAAAGGGAGAAGCGATACCCCCCCAAACGCACACACATATGCATAGGTGTGTAGGCGTGTGTATGGTCGTACCTTAGGGATCTTCATGTACACGAAGGACATGTTGGAGTTGGCCCGGGCCTTCATCAGATCGACATCGTCTATCTTCTTAGCCTTACTTCTGCACGTACACAATTGGCAATTGAGAATGGATCAGCGCACACGTTCAAGAATTAACGTTTGCCGACGTATACCTCTGCCGAGTCGAGTACATCAGAGGCTTCACACTTCGGAGCTCGTGCAAGTACTTGATGCACCGATGGAATCGATAATTGAAAGATCATATTCATAACTATCCACGAGTTAAAGTAGAATCACATACAGTGGATATCCATAATCTGGCGTGTGTATAGGCATAACTATCCACGAGTTAAAGTAGGATCACATACAGTGAATCTACAGAATATGGCGTGTGCCGTGGCTATACTAAGAGGATCTTGACTATATGCCTAAACGAGAATGCGCACGCAGATAGATACAACAACGATATAAACACATGCACACAACTGAGTCATGCTGTGCATGAGTGTGGGTGTACGAGCCATTTGCCGACGGACTTCCACTTACTTTCCCTTGGAGCCGCTACTGCTTGTCTTTTGTGAAGTGTCCCTGCCACCCGAGTCCGCCTGCAGCACACGTGTTGGTAAGTGTAGAGGGTAGGTAGTATCAGTAGTATGTATATGCACATATGCCATTCACATATAAGAGGTGGAAAACCTCTTCATATATGCGCGCCTCAGTTTCACAGGGACAAACAATCATCGACACAAAACCCAAGAAAACCCTAAACCCAACACCCAACACCTTAGACCACATCGAACACAGGAATTGGGTTGCTCCTCTGGTTGACAACTCAGTCAACACGCACACTACATTGAACGAAAGCCTTCGACAGTTCATATGATTGGCCACTACATGACACACGCACCACACATAGCGCCTGCGGCGATGTTCTAAAAATAACTATGGATAGTAGACTAGCCTATACCCTAAATCCTAAACTCTAAACCCTAAACACTATAACCGCAAATGTAGGATTCATCCATACGCATGTACACATACACAAGCATTGAAGTACAGGTTTCCACAAGCAATAGTGTTTACAGATTTATGATCACGTGTACATTCTGCATCACATCTGCACTTACAGTCTCGTGCGGTGTCCCCGACGGATCAAACGATGCCATGCTGTACTGTACCTGTTTATTTTGGTTTGGGGCCAAGAATATAGGGCATTTTGTATTATCGGTTGAGTACACAAGGAGAGCATAATCTGCATTGCGTCTTCGCAGATGTCTCAGGGTGGGGTTGAGAGGGGTGAGAGGGATGCGTACAAGCTTCAATTCACCACGGTCGTGTGTAGCCAGCCAGTGGTAGAGAGTATGTGCGTGTATGGTCAGTGGGAAACAATGTGCACTACCACGAGACAGGTCGACCACAACAGCGACTGCAGTACCCACCTCTGTATAAACATCCAAACGTTACAAACGAGATATCCACTAGCACGCATGTACACAAACGGCTTGGCATAGTGTTTGCGCAACTACGGTGACGAGAAGAATACCAACGCATGCTTCTCCCGTGCATGTGGAACAAGGGGTCGCACTGAGCCATGTGTACACTCCAGGCACCACGGACCTGCTGGTTCGTACGCATCCTTAGCTGAACAGACACGTGTAGACATAGACACACATCATGGGTACACATAGACTGAACAGACAAGACACACATGGCCACGGGTACACATAGACTGAACAGACACGTGTACACATAGAGACACATGGCCACGGGTACACATAGACACACATGGCCATGGGTACACATAGACACACATGGCCATGGGTACACATAGACTGAACAGACAAGACACACGTGGCCACGGGTACACATAGACTGAACAGACACGTGTACACATAGACACACATGGCCACGGGTACGCGGGGGCAATGTAAAGGACCACTCGAGAGAAGACAGACAAGTGCTCGCTCAGTAAACCATACCGAATGCTGATCATCCATCGTCGACTGGGACTTGATCGATTGAGACATTCTATAGATAGAACGGGTGCAGACGGAACGGGAAGATTGTTAGTCACACACACACATAGAGAGAGAGGGAGAGAGAGAGAGAGATGAAGTGAGTGTCTATCACGATTGTTGGCAGATACGATGAAGTTGAGGGGTTGGTGTAGGTCACAGGGGACAATAGATTGGAGGTACAAACGCAAACAGAAACGCCAAACCCACACACACACACGTATAGATGAACAAACGTACACGCATACAAGAACAATCACACACACACACACACACACACACACAGACATACAAAATATATTTGAAATTGTGTTAACTAACACATATATAGATACATATACATGAATGTGTACACCTAGGGTATCCTAACACACACACGCAATTACATACATACATACATACATACATACATATATACATATTTATACAATATACATATATATATATACATACATACATACATACATACATACATACATACATACATTCATACATACATACATACATTCATACATACATACATACACACACACACACACACACACACGCACACACACACATACATACATACAGAGACATATATACGCATGTAACCAGAAAACATACGTTGAGCTCATATCCGCCGTGAAGCCTGGGTGGTGTAGCATGCCTCCTGGTCCTTCCACCGCATCCTCGGTCGACACTACCACCGGCAAAGCGGCGGAGCGTAGAGATTGCGACAAGTTTAAGCCCATGTTTTTATTGGTGTAGAGCTCAGGCTCTTGGGCTGGTCCATTGACCAGCGACGGGACAGCAGAAGACACGGAGTGAAGGCTGGAACTACCCGCTCCTGGAAGAAGGGGTGAAGGTTTTCTTAGCAGTAGTATATATACACGATTCGGTATATATATATATATATATATATATAGATGTATGTACACATACATC